CCGTTCGGCCGACGCTCCACGCGCCAGCCCCCGCCTCCCACCTGGGAGGCTGCACCTCCAGCCGCCGCCGCCACCGCCGCCGGGACTGCAGCACGCCCTCCTCCCTGGGGGCTGCGCCGGGTATTTGCAATCCGGGTCTGTGCTGCCCCCTGCCGGCCCGAGCTCCCCCTGCTGCTGTAGGTGTGTTCACGTGTGTACACGTAGGTGAGCACACACGTGTTTCCGGCGCCCCGAGCTCCGGAGACGCCCGAAAGTCTCCCCTTGCCTAATTAGGAAGGCAAGGCTGCATGCCCTCAGGGCAGCCTTGCCCGGGAGGCCAGAGAGAGAAGCATGAAGCGAAGCCCTTACCAAGCCCTCAGTTTCCCCTTCTGGAAAAGAAGAGGGGTGGACTAGGTAATCTACAAGGTCCTTGCTGCTTAAGTTCTGTCAGTTTAAGACCTCAGAGCTGAAAGAGCCCTTTCAGCAATTCCAGTCAGATGAATTTATTCTAAATAAGGAAATTGAGGCCAGGCGAAGAGGGGGAGTACTTTTCCAACCTACTACGCAAAACAACAACAACAACAACAACAACAACAACAACAACAACAACAACAACACCTTTCCTCAAGGAATTCGTGTCGAGTAGTGAGACAGAAACCTGCATAACTAGCCGTAACTGAGCAGGCTCGTAGAGGTTGAACAGGTTAGTGGGAAGCAGAACAGAACCGGGGCCCAAGGAGTATAGTACAGGACACACTGAGAATATCGGAGGCAGAGGGAAGTGTTTAGAAACAGTGCCCCTCAGGTGTACAGTTTCAAGGCTTGGTTCATGGAGAAGTGGTTGTCCAGTGTGGCTGAAAGGAGGTCAGGCCTCTTGAGGAAAATAACACTGCTTTGCGTGTGTGTGCCTGACACTGTGCTAAGCCCTTCCCATTCATCATCTCACTTAATCCTCAGGACAGCCTGGTTCCATAAATGGTTTTATCCCCATTGTACAGAGGAGGAAATTGAAGCTTAGAGAGCTTAAGAAACTTGCTCCAGATTTCATGGTTAATAGGGGCTCGTTTGCGGGGATTTAAAACTGTTGCTCCTAAGCACTGCCAGGCTGAGGCATGTGGCACGATTGGCAGGCAGTGACCTAGGCAGAAGCAGTGGCCACAGCAAAAGAAACAGAGAAAGGGACGGATGAATCCAGAAGACATTCCAAAATAGACATTTACTGATCATCAGGCACTGTCTTAGGTGATTTCATGGATGATATTTTCATTAATTCTCATTCCAACCTTTCCAGGTAGTTCCACTTATCCCTATTGACTTAGGTGCAGTTTGGGGCTTAGAGAAGTAGTATCTTTGCCCCAGATCTCAGAGCTCCTGTATGACAGCAGCCAGTACCCTCACTTGTTGCCTAGTGTTCCCTTTATGACTCTACAGGGATCTTCCGTGTGACCGTGTATTCTGAGGGGACACCTGTAATCAGCCTTCAGATACCCACTCTGCTCTCCTCCCGCAAGACTTGACTTAATAGAATACCATTAGCAAGCTAGTGTTCTAAGGAAGCCCAGTCTGCTTATTGGTTTCTAAGGATAACCCGTTTTCTACCATACAGCCCAGGAGTGCTGTGGTAGACTGAATAATGACCCCCCCCAAAGATGTCCACATCCCACTTCCCAGAACCTGTGAACATGCTGCCCTACATGACAAAAGGGACATTGCAAATGTAATTAAATGAAGAAGTTTGAGGTGGGCAGATTATCCTGGATTATCTGGGTGGGACCAATATAATCCCTAGGGTCCTTGTATAAGAAAGAGGCAGGAGGGTCAGACAGAGAAGGTTATGTGACAATGGCAGCAGAAGTCAGAGTGATGCGTCCAAGAGCTAAGGAAAACAGGCAGCTGCTGGAAGCTGGAAAAGGCAAGGAACAGATTATCCCCTAAATATTCCACAAGGAAGGCAGCCTTTGTTTTTAATGCAGCTGGTAAAATCCATCTCTGGCTTCTGACCTCCAGAATTGTAAGATAACATGTTTGGGTTGTTTTAAACCACTGAGTTTGTGTTTATTTATTCCAGCAGTGATAGGAAACTCATACATGGGCAGTGTTAAGTCATATTAGTTTGATGCACTAACAACTGGTTTTCAAAGCCTCTCAGCACTGTCATAGTGCCATCCCTCTCAAAGTGTCATTCAGTTTGTAATTACCCTCTGTCCTTCTCTCCCACTAGATGCTAAGCTCCATGAGAAGAGGACTTTTTCTTATTCATTATTACATCCCCACCCAGCACCTAGCCTGCTGTTTGGCAGGTAGTCAGCATTAAAGAAATGCTTGTTGAGTGAATGCAAGATCTTATTTCATTGTCATGATGGCTCCATGGGGGTAGGGATTGCTTTTGCTTTTGAGAGATGGAGAAAATGAAGATTGGAGTGGAGCCTGGACTCACACTCATGTCTCCTGACTCCGGATCCCATGTACTACTGACAATACCATGTCATGGAGAATTCCACAGGGACTCCATATTGCTTTCATTTTACCTCTACCTCCTCTGTGCCAGACACTGTCACTGAATTGATCTCATTCAGTCCTCATCACAATAGTGATTTAAGCACATTTTTTTTCTAGCACACAGGGGAGAGAAACAGAGACTCAGGCCTTCCTTTGATTAAATTTCATGTCACCCAAGTTTCTTCCCCAGAATTTCCACGTTTGATGAGTAAGTTTGCATTTAGTCTGTTCACAGTGTTACGCATTTCAGTGATTATACTTTCTTAATCGCTGCCTTTCAGACCCTAAAAGTTTCTATCCCTGTTATCCGGGCTCTGTACCAGCCCTTCAAAAATTTTAATTGCTGTTTCTCAGACCTCCCCTATGCTCAGTGAAAATGGGCCAGAACTGCCCATTTCATTTTCATGTGTTTGCCAATAATACATCACTCTTTTGTTGGCTTTTTGGTCCTCAAACTATTATTTAGTTATTTCACCTAGGTTCCTGTCTAGAATCACCTTGGGCTAAAGTTCTCATGAGACAGTCTGTTATGAAAAGGAATATATGTATGTACATGTATGACTGAAACATTATGCACCAGAAATTGACACAACATTGTAAACTGACAAGATTTCAATTAAAAACAAACAAACGGAAAACAAGCAAAAAGAGACAGTCTACACTCAATTCCAGGGCCTTCCCTTGGCCAGGAACAGTAGCTTGACGTCCTCAGTCTCACGGGCAGTATTTAGAATCTGACCCCTCGAGTCACTTCTCGCCTTCTCCTCACTAAAGCCCAGCCATGGCTGCCTTATCCTCCACCTCTGGTTCGGGAGAACCTCCCGGCTTGCTTCTCATCCCTCCTCCAGAGGTTTGTGTCATCAGTAAACCTCAGAGCGTTCCTTACACACTCCCTTCCTCCAGAGTAGTTATACATTTTAATTAAACAGCCCCCCCCATCTCTAAGGAACTCCTCCCAGAAATGTGCCGTTTATTCCTATCCTTTGTTTCCTGGCTCATTTCCTAGACTCAATAAAATTGTGCCCTCATTCCCTCAGACTCCTTTTCTTTTCCCACAGGACAAGATTACACTTGAATGTGTGTTCCTATTTACTCCCTCATAAATTTTTCTTTACATAAACTTTTTTTTTTTTGAAGTAGAGTTGATTTACAATGTTGTGTTAGTTTCTGGTACAGCATAGTGATTCAGTTATGCATATATATATTCTTTTTTATATTCCTTTATAGGTTATTACAAGCTATTGAATATAGCTCCTTGTGATATACAGTAGGACTTGGTTGTTTATCTATTATATATATAGTATATTAGTATCTGCAAATCTCAAACTCCCAATTTATCCCCCCCTCCACCGCTTTCCCCTTTCATTACTGTAAGTTTGTTTTCTATGTCTGTGAGTCTGTTTCTGTTTTGCAAATACATTCATTTGTATCATTTTTTCGATTCCACAGATAAGTGTTATGATATTTGTCTTTCTCTGTCTGAGTTACTTCACTTAATATGTTAATCTCTAGGTCCATCTATGTTGCTACAAATGACATTATTTCATTCTTTTTTGTGGCTGAGTAGTATTCCATTGTGTGTGTGTGAGAGAGAGAGAAAGAGGGAGATGATAGATAGATATCACATCTTCTTTATACAGTCATCTGTTGATGGACATCTGTTGATTGCCTCCTTGTCTTGGCTATTGTAAATAGTGCTGCTATGAACACTGGGATGCATGTATCTTTTCAAATTAAAGTTTTCTCTGAATATATGCCCAGGAATGGGATTGCTGGATCATATGGTAACTCTGTTTTTAGTTTTTTAAGGAATCTCCATACTGTTTTCCATAATGGCTGCACCAAACTACATTCCCACCAATAGTGTAGGAGGGTTCCCTTTTCTCCACAGCCTCTCCAGCATTTATCATTTGTGGACTTTTTAGTGATGGCCATTCTGACGAGTGTGAGGTGATACCTCATTGTCATTTCGATTTGCATTTCTGTCTTTTCATTAATATTTACTGAGACCTTACTATGTCCCACAAAGCCTTCCTTGCCCTTCCAAGTGTTTAGTAAATGTTGCCTTAACCTTTTGGCTATCATTTCATAATAATAATAGCTATTATTAAATATAGACTGTGGAGTGGGCAGCTGTGCTTTCTGCCAGCCCAGCGTCCATTTTTCCTTCTTTGAGTTACAGAGTCTGGGTTCCTTTGCAGAATTACTTCACCCCCGCTCAGAAACCTAGTGGTCCAGGTGACGCTAACCTCACTGTCTGCCTCAGGTATGGCACATGATCAGGCCTGGCTAATCAGAGCACTGCATTTCCCAGTGACCTGTTACTGGTTCAAGAATGGGCAGTGACCCATGTCAAGCCAATGGAGGTCAGCCCTGGAACTCATGTTGAAGTTATTGGGAACCAGCAGTGTTAGGCCTGGAACTGGAACT